GTGATGATGACGATGATGATGATGAGGAGGAGGAGGAGTAGGATTCTTACTACCTTCAAAGAAACATCCAGCCCGGTGGCCAGAACAACCATGCACCGACGCCGGCCCCCAGACGCCGAGCACGAGGGAAGGCCGACTCGGCGCCGAGGCGACGACGAGGTCAGAGGAGGAGGAGGAGGAGGAGGAGGAGGAGGAGGCAGAGGCGAGGGCACGGGCGCCCAGGGGACAGGACACGAGGACGAGGCGTAGGGGAACAAACACACAGAGCGGCGCGGGCGCGGGCCCGTGTCTCTTCGGAGCGGCGCGGGCCCCTTCGGTTCTGCTCGGATCGGCGCTGGGCGCTCCTGGCCCGCTCCGCGCTCCTGGGTCCAGCGGACCTCCGAAAGTTCAGGTGTACGCAGTGTTTTGTTGAGTCGGAGGGGGGGCGGATGATGAGGATGACAGTGATGCTGATGATGCTGATGATGATGATGATGATGATGATGATGATGGTGATGATGATTATGATTAGTAGTATGATGAGGATGCTGACGATGATGATGATGATGATGATGATGCTGATGATGATGATGATGATGATGATGATGATGATGATGATGATGATGATGATGATGATAATGATGATGGTGGTGATGATGATGATATCGATGTTGATGTTGATGATGCTGCTGATGATGCTGCTGACAATGCTGATGAGCAGGAGGAGGATGATGATGATGAGGAGGTGGAGGAGGCAGAGGAGGAGGAGGAAGCATAATAAGGGGGCGACACCATTTCTTCACCTACGCCAGCTTGGGCTGCACACGTGGTGTCTATGTCGTGATTGGACGTGCTAGGCCAGATCGTCAGAGAAGCTGTTATGATTGGGATCTTGTGGGTTCTGGTAACCCTGAGACTCCAAACAAAGACACCTCTTGCGGCGCATAGTTTACTTCTGCGGGCGTCTAGTGTCGAGGGGCATTCCGTAGGCGTTGCCGCCCTCGTTTCACTTTCGCCAGCCTCCACCACAGTCCGAAAAGGAAGAGGTGCCAACCCAAAGATATCTGAAAGGCGAGGCCGAATATGGGAGACCCCCCACGGCGGCTGCCAGAAACCCCGAACAAAAGCAATGTGCCACCATCTGTTGGAACAGGACGGATGTGTGCTTCCGCTGGCTGCCGCCAGCGGAGGCGGCCTCGCTTTACTTCCGCCGCATTCCGCAGGCCTTCCGCCGCCTCCCTCCGAAGAAGAGGTGTCAACCTCTGGACTCCCCGGGAAGGCAAAGCCCATTCTGGGAAATCCCCACATCGACACCACGATGGCTCGAGCTTGGCCTAGGGCAGCGTGTCAACGGAGGCTGGGGCGCCGCCTGAACGCGTGCGGGGTGCTGTCGAACAGCCGCACCCGGATCGGGCACGCGGGGTGCAGCACCGCGGCACGCAGCATCGACGCGGCCGCGTCCTCGCCCCGGAGGTGAAGCGACTCCTCCTCCTCCTCCTCCTCCTCCTCCTCCTCCTCCTCCTCCTCCTCCTCCTCCGCCTCCTCCTCCTCCTCCTCCTCCTCCTCCTATTCCTCCTCCTCCTCATCCTCCTCCTCCTCCTCAGCTCCTCCTCACTCCTCATCCTCCTCAGCTCCTCATCCTCCTCCTACTCCTGCTCCTCCTCCTCCTCCTCCTCTTCCTCCTCCTCCTTTTGCAACTCCACTCCTCCTCTCCTCCTCCTCCTCCTCCTCCTCCTCCTCCTCCTCCTCCTCCTCCTCCTCCCTCCTCTTCCTCCTCCTCTTCCTCCTCCTCCTCTTCCTCCTCCTCCTGCGCCACCTCTTCTTCTTCCTCCTCCTCCTCCTCCTGATCTTCCTCATCCTGAGCCTCGTCCTCCTCCCACTCCTCCTACTCCCTCCTCCTCCCTCCTCCTCCTCTTCCTCCTTCTTCTCCTGCTGCTCCCCGTGTCGCCGTCGCTGCCGCCGTTGGTCGCGGACCGGTCGTCGATCGGCCGCCCCGCGGCCCGCGACCAACTCTGCGACCCGTCCCGCAGCCTGCACCGCTTCCTGCTGCGAGACCCGCCCCGTGACTCACCCGCGAGCCACCCTCGACCCGCCCCGCGACCCGCCTGACGACCGACGAACATTCTTCTGTGTACATCAGCTGCTCAGGAGGGCCCCTGGTCGAGAAGGGTTCAGAGGCTAGGTGTGCTGTCTTCAAAGGGGGGGAGGGCCCCTGGGAGGAGAAGCAGGAGGAGGGGGAGGGGGAGGGGGAGGAGGAGGAGGAGGAGGAGGAGGAGGAGGAGGGAGGAGGAGCAGGAGGAGGAGGAGGAGGAGGAGGGAGGAGGAGGAGGTTGAGGAGAGGAGGAGGAGGAGGAGGAGGGGGAGGGAGAGGAGGAGGAGGAGGGGGAGGGAGCCCGAAAGGGGGGTGCCCGTGGTGTGTGCCTCCGCCGCAGCGGCTGGTGGCCGCCGCGCCGCGCCTCGCCCGGGCCGCCACGGCCCGGGAGAGAATGCCTCCGCTCGCGCCCCCCTGCTGTGTGCGACACCGGGAGCTGGTGTGAGGTCGGGCGTGTCCTCCTACAGGCGGGTTTTGAGCTAAACATTCAAAATAGTTTTCGAGCATATGCTCCAACATGGTCGAACATGATAATACAAAAAATCGTCCCCAGACTATTCGTATACAATCTTTAAATATTCGTCCTGTAGGGAGTCATGCCCGACTTAAAGCTGGTGCGACACAACAGCGGCCTTTCTCGAGCATAACCTGTTGGCGCTCTGCGCGGGGTTCTCGGATCCGCGCCCGGACCCTTTGGCGGCGCCTCCTCTGGCGCCGCCCCTGGGGGGTCCAGCGCAGATCCAAGAAGTCCGCGCGGAGCGCCAGCAGTTTGTTTGTGGTGTTTGTTCTTCTTCGACTCTCGGCCCTCTCCTCGAACAACGCCCCCTCGACAGAAGAACGAAAAGGAGGTTAGAGAGCAGAAAACGACACCGTTAGAAAACGCAATCCGATACGCGAAGCCGTTTAGGAAACTCACCCGAAGGCGGAATCGAACAGGGCCGGGCTGCTTAGCAAACGCCCAGGGCCGTTTGGCCAACGGCAATTATCGGGTCAGGGTGGTTTTCCTCCCTTGAGAGGTAGAGCGACAAGAGGAGCGCCAGAGCAATGATGGTGTGCCCCCCCCCCCCTTGTGGGGTCGTAGGCGCGCTGCTTCAGCACCAGCGCGTCGCTCTTATGCGCGTCCTTGCTCAGGAGCGCCTGGATTATGCCTGGGCAGGCGCGGCTCTAGCACCCATCCGAAGGAGATCGGGAAGCTTCTCGATACCAGACCTGCTCATCGAATTGTTGTTATCCAAGTCCCCTCTCACCTGGAACCTCAACTGTTCTTCTCTCGGCAGATTCCCATCCATCTAACTGTTGGCAAACAAAATGCCAACACGTTGGCAGGTGAAACAGATTAACAGTGCAGAATATCGGAGGTGGTGCGTGCCAGGATTGCGGAGATCGATAAAAAAGCGTCCCTGGTTCCTCCTCCTCCTCCTCCTCCCGTCTCAGGTCTCCCTCCTCCCTCCGCCCTCCTCCCTCCTCCCTCCTCCCTCCCTCATCCCTCCTCCCTCAACCCTCCTCCCTCCTCTCTCCTGCTGCTCCTCCTCCTCCTCCTCTTTCTCCCTCCTCCCTCCTTCCTTCCCGTCCTCCTCCTCCTCCTCCTCCTCCTCCTCCGCCTCCTCCTCCGCCTCCTACCTCCTCCCCCTCCCCTCCTCCTCCCCTCCCCTCCTCACTCCCCCTCCTCCTCCTCCTCCTCCTCCTCCTCCTCCTCCTCCTCCTCCTGCTCTCCCTCCTCCCTCCTCCTCTCCTCCTCCTCCCTCATCCTCCCTCCTCCCTTCCCGTCCTCTCCCTCAGTCCTCCCTCCTCCCTCCTCCTCCGCCCTCCTCCCCTCCTCCTCCTCCTCCTCCTCTCTCCTCCTCCTCCATTCCCTCCGCCTCCTCCCTCCGCCTCCTCCTCCTCCTCCCTCCCCAGACCTCCTCCTCCGCCTCTCCCTCCTTTGTTCTCACTCCTCCAATCTCTCTCCTCAGTTCTCCCTCCTCCCTCTTCCCTCCTCCTTCCTTATCCTCCTTCTCTTTTATCCCTCCTCTTCCTCCATTCCTCTTTCTTGTAGAAAACTCCTCCCTGCCGCACCCCAAGGGCGGGTCCGGCGTTTTGCCCGAGACATTCTCATCATGTATGACCCTGATGCTCCACAAGTGGAAACAGTTTCACACATGGAGGGGGGTCGTTTTCAAAATGTTGCTCTCGCCTTAGCGCCGCGCACATTCGTTCCCAAACATGTCCACTGGTTTCACGGGTTGAGGGCGGGTCGTTTTCAAACTGTGGATCTCGCCTTAGCGCCGCGCACATGCGATGAACAAGTTTCCAATGTTTTTGACGGGTTGAGGGTGGGTGGTTTTCAGCATGTGGCTATCGTCTTAGCGCCGCGGTGGTTTTCAAAATGTGGCTCTTGCCCTAGCGCCAAACATTCGCCAGAACTTCAGGGATTGAGGGCGGATCGTGTTCGCCTTGAGTAGCGCCGCGCACATGCGTCCAACAGAAATTGCAAGAGCTTCACGGATTGAGGGCGGTTCCTTGTCAAAATGTTTGCCTCGCCTTACCCCCGCGCATATTCCTGAACTTCACGGGTTGAAGGCGGCTCCTTCTCAAACTCTCGCTTTTGCACATTCCGTGATTAAGCACTTGCAAGAGTTTCACTAGTTCTCATGGTTCACATTTCAGGTAGGGTGTTTTGGCGCGATTGAGGACTGTCAGGGCGCAACAGTTACGTTGATTTACTGTGCTAAAATCCGAGACAACGCGTCCTGGCACGACTCAGAATCGCCAAGACGTAATCGCCAGGTTAACTCGTGGCGTTGAAGTCCTGAGAATGGTATTGCTGGTACGCTTCAAGATGTTCACGCAGTTGTCCCCGAAACGGGGCAACTCCTTCAGTGGAAGTGACCCCCTGCAGGGGCCTGTGAAGAGGGATCTTGGAGGGAGGATGTATTTCAACATCGCTGCTGAGTCTGGGGTTTGCACTGGTACTGCTTTCTGACGTTCGACCAACTAGAATCGGCAGCCTGGAGCGTACTTGCATATAACACCGACTCAACGCTGCGGTGAACAAATTAAGCCTGGCTGGCGCACTAAGCACCTAAGCGGGGCGGCAAGAACTGGAAAAGAAATGGGGCGCAGAGTATGCGCCAGCCAGGCGGAATGAAGGGGAGAGAGATCGATCGATCGAAAACCCTAGAAACATCAATCCTCCTGCGCCTCCTCCCTCCGATGACGTAGCTTCGTGCTTCGCGCGGCGAAGAGCGCGATGCGCGCCCAAAGCGCCGCCCCCCTGGAGAAGAAGCACTCGTAAGAACCTGCCACGCATCGCGGGCGGCCCTGCGGATGACCTTGCTTCGCCTGGCCGACACCCCTCTTTCAGGGACCTGCCGTCCCGGATGTTCCTATAGGCCTACCACGTCCAGTAATGTTCTTAGAATCCAAGAGTATTCTAAGAACGGAAAAAATGTTCTCAGAGCAGAGCCCCGATGTGATTAAAACAAGACAGTCTCGGCCAAACATGTTCGAATATTACGTTGTGCAAAACATCTACGGCTTCTCGATGTTTGGTTGGCCGGCCTATAGCCGAGCCAGGACGGTTCGCCGCTGTTTGACCTCTTCTCCTTCCCTTGCCACTGTCCACGGCTGCTGCCCCTGCTTCCGGCCAGCTTACCGTTGAGCACGTTCTGGGGAGGGCGGGGAGGTGTGCTTGAGTGGCATGCCCGCCTTAGCTGCCCCGATACGCAACACGCAACACGTATCGTATTGATACGGAGCTCAACACGTACGCTGAAAACGTGGGTCCGACGCGATACACTCGCCAAAACGTGGTCCGATACGTGGGGCCAACACGCGACGTATTGACACGGACGTCTTGAACACGGGACGTATTGCGTTTCAAAACGGGCGTATCGAGGCAACTAGGATGCCCGCTGATGGGCAGACGGGTGGGGACTGGGGGGCGGAAGCGGGGGAGGGGAGAGGGAGGGACAGACGGAGAAGACCGAAGAGAGGGGACAGCACGAAGAAAGCACGAGAGATCACAAGGAGGGGACGAGAACGGGAGAAATCGCGAGAATCAAGAAAATCAAGAGAAGTCACGAGAGAAATCAAGAGAATCACGAGAAATCAAGAGAATCACGAGAAATCATGAGAGGGGGCGAGACGGGGAGGGACAGCACGAAGAAATCACGAGACGGGCCACGGGAGGTCCAGGGGTTGACCGCGCCCAGGCCGCCGTTGGGCACGACCCACACCGATTTCGCCGCGGAGGTGGTATTGAACGAGACCGACACCTCGAACAGGAACCGCGTCGCGATGCCGAGCGTGACCTCCTGAACACGGATGGGGTATGACTGGTTGTCTTGTCGAGAGGAAGAGAAGGTGAGGCAGA